TTCATAGTATTGCAAAATTAATCATCATCTAAATAACGTTACCATGATAATAAAAAGGTCGTTGTAGTTGCGCGCTTTTAGTATTTCTCCGCCTTTCCAAATGGTATCTATGCAAAAGGTCCTGTTAGGCGACTCTTCGCAAAAAACGGAAAACTCATCACCCCCCATCGCGTTTGCGGATGGAAACGCAAAGAGTAGGACGCATAGTAGTAACAACGATGAAATAAACTTCGTATGTGTTATTATTACTTGTATTGTGGCCATATTGAGAAACAAAAAGGTGTTTGATATTTTTTTATGTTTCCTCTTGTGTATTTCAATCATTTACTGATGTTTATATATTGAGATCTTAAAATGGCAATCTACTATATAAATGGATGAGAGTCTTTAAAGGAATTTGCATGGTAGCACATTAAGATAGTACCTAACAATACTGACATTCATAATAGTAAAAATGTTAATTAGTGGCAGTAAAATGTTTCTAGTGAGATTCCTTTCTCATGAGTCATGGCCTTAAATATTAAAAATAAGTATTGTGAAATGATTTGTATAATCGATTCCTGGTTTTGGGCAGTTTTGTGCAGTGTAATGTGATATAGAGGTGAATTGTCTTAAAATGCTTTTAATGAAACATTGCACTTTGATGATTAATTTATTGGTTATGTTTACATTAAATTAATAGCTACCTGCAATGTTTCATTAAAAACATTTTAAGACAATTCACAATATCTACCTACATAAAAACCAACTCACTCAAATAAATTGGCACATTTCATGAATTACAATATTTCGTAAAGTGGTTTGTTTTCTGTCTCAAATGCTTCTCTTGTCAAATCTCAATTTACGAGATCGATAAGGTTCGTATATGGTCGAATTGTTCGAGAACTGTGCTTTGTTTCTAATTGACAACATCATCCTGACAAGGATTCTAAATTTCGTTTCAGGATATATGATGGATTCTTTAAAAATTTTAGGTAGAGCTTTTTGCATCAGTCTCAGATTTCAGAAATTGCGCTTAAGGTAATTTCTGATCGGATTTAAAGGTTTTCTCGATTTCTCTATGTGAATTTTGAACAAACTAATGAGGCCATCTCTTTAGTTATTTGGATAAATTCTCAAAGATGATTTTGTTTTGGTTTCTGGAGGCTTTTGAATCCGTAATTTGGGAAGCTGGTGATGAAAACAATTTGATGGTAATCTAAATTGTGGTTAGTATGTATGAGTAGTTTTTGATCGGTTTCATTTAGGATTTAACCGTTGTTTAATTCTGACACAGAGGAACTGGTTCAGTAGAAGATGTTTTACAAAGTTTCATTTTATCCACTATTGTAAGTGATCACATGTATGATTTGGATTAGTTGCTACAGAACAAACTGTTAAACAAGTATATACATTCAGCCATCGATAGTAGAAAAGGTTAATATTGTTGAAATTTTCTTTGAGTTTCGTTCTATTTTCAGATTGAATTGCTTGATTTCAACAAGGCGAAAAAGGTTTTCGTTGCATCATGCCTAAGATCAGGTTGACTATTTTGTGAAGAACTACTTATGTGTTGTTGTCTTTAAACTTGGTTTAGTTGGTTTAGTCTAATGTCCACAATTTCTCCAGCTTCCAAAGTTCAAGGTACATTCTTAATGCCTTAGTCTTTTTATTTTTACAGGCAACACAATGTATCATTCTGACATGTGAGTAAAGAAGTGGATAAAATCAGCTAGCAATTTTAGTAATCAGGTAAAACATAATGGCATTTTCTTGTCTTATACTTGTACACATATATATGTTGTATAACCTTTTCAGGCAAAAAGTTCAAAAGCTGAAGCTTAAAGGATTGAAGATGCGAATGTATATGGCTATACGAAATATTGTGGCTAATCTACCATGTATTATTTTGCAAGACAGCTATATTTTGATGTACAATTATACATTTGGTTAAGAGATTTTTTTTAGGCGGTTTGTTTCAAAACTTTAATTAATTACAAATTTTATTTATAATATATTTTGATAAATAATGAGTAAAACAATTTGCAATTAAAAGACAAAAAGAAATACTAGCGTCGAGAGTGACTTTAACTATAACGTCACTTTTATAACCGTCAGTAGGATTTAAAAAACCGACGTTACGTTTTAGACGTTCGAAAACTGATGTAAAAAATTGTTACCATCGGCCCTTGTTAAGACGGTTAGAGAACCGACGTCAATATGTTTAAGTCAGTAATCATAAACCGACGTTAGACTTGATTAAAAGTGACGTCAAATCCCTTCTTTTTTTCTTTTTTTCTTGTAGTGAATGTAGTTCCTAACTTGATTAGGAGCCACACATTGAGTATGTTTTTAATTCATGTTGTTTGATAAAATTATTTTATATTTTCAAGTGAATAATGATTTTTAATATAAATTCTGTTATTATTAGGAGTGGAAAAATATTTGAGAACTAAGATTCAATCCATTCCGAAAACTAAGATATACTAATATATATTTGAGTTTTGACTGAAATCGTAAGCTCATTTTGAATTGGATCCATATATCTTAATTTTTGCGGACTCTGTTGATTTATGTGGTTGCATCGGTCACTTGGGTTATGGTATTAGATATCTGATAAAAAGTCTACGTAAGAAATCGAAAAATAACATAATGTGTTGACCCTAATTAATCAACTAATACGTTACCGCGACATGACTTCAAATAACAGTTTTATGCTCGTTTTTTTCTTCAATCCTC